ATCCAGGAAGTGCAAAGAGTCCCAAACAAGATGAACCCAAAGAGGTTCATCACCATTATTAAAATGCCAAAGGTTAAAGACAGAGAATCTTAAAAGCGGCAAGAGAAAAGCACCTAGTTACCTACAAGGGAGCTCCCATAAGATTGTCGGTTGATTTCCCAGCAGACTTTGCAGGCCAGAAAGGGATTGGCAAGAATATTCAAAGGGATGAAAAGCAAGAATCTAAACCAAGATTACTCTACCCAGTAAAGCTATCATCTAGAATCAAAGTACGGACAAGAAAAAGCTAGAGGAGTTCTTCACCACCAAATCAGTATTACAAGAAATGTTAGAGAGACTTAAGAAAAAAAAAAGATCAAAAATATGAATAATAAAATGGCAACGGCTACATATCTATCAATAATTACTTTAAACGTAAATGGATTAAATGCTCCAATCCAAAGAGTGGATGAATACCTAAGAAAACAAGACCCTTTCACACGCTGCCTACAAGAGGCTCACTTCAGATCTAAAGACACAGACTGAAAGTAAAGGGATGGAAAAAGATATTTCATGAAAATGGAAACAAAGAAGATTAGATAGCAATACTTATGCCAGACAAAACAGACTTTAAAATAAAGCCTATAACAAGAGAGAAAGAAGGACCCAGTAAATGCCACTTCTGGGTATTTATCTGAAGAAACCCAAAACACTACTTCGAAGGGATACGTGAATCCATTATGTTCATTGCTGCACTATTTACAGTAGCCAAGGTATGAAGGTAACCTGGATGTCTACCAATGGATGAATGGATAAAGAGGTGGTACATATATACAATGGAATATTACTCAGCCATAAAAAAAAGGCATGAAAGCTTATCATCTGCAACAATACCCTCTAGGATGGACCTAAAGGGTATTGTGCTGAGTGGAATAAGTCAGAGAAAGACAAATGCCATATGACTTCACTTACATGTGTAAACTAACTAAGCAGAAACAAATGCATAGATACAGAGAACATTTTGATGGTTGCCAGATGGGAGGGGGATTAGGGACATGGGTGAAAAAGAAGAAAGATTAAGAAGTACAAATCTGTAGTTATAAAACAGTAATGGAGATGTAAAGTATAATGTTAAGGAATATAGTCAATAATATTGTAATAACTATGTATGGTGTCAGATGGGTATTAGATTTGGGGGGGGGTGACCACTTCATAAGTTATATAAATGTCTAATCACCACGCTGTACACCTGACACTAATATAATATTATATGTCAATTGGAATTGAAAAGTAAAATTATTTTCTAAAATAACTTTAAACATGTTTAAATGTTTAAACATATCTATTTTAAATATATATTTTACATGGTTTAAATGTTCTATGTTTTAATATCTTTATATATTTCAAAACATACTTTTTAGTCAAAAAAAGATGTAATAATCATATAGATACATAAAAAAAATCTGTACACTTCTAGTTGCTTAGCCTGAGGAACTGGAAAAACTGTGAAAGTCATGAAAGATACAGAAAAGTTAAAAAGGACAACAGATTTGAAGGAAATACTGGTGAGTATATATATAAACAGTACGTTAAAGATTATTCAACTAGAGATGTCTTTTAAATAGATAAAAATATAGGAAAGAAACTTAATTCTAATTTTACTAGTTTTGAAATTAAATACCCCCAAGATGTCATGGTCTCAGTAAAATCAAGAAAAAAAGGGTCTAGTGTCTTTGAGTGTTGCAATTCGGTGTTGCAATTTTTGAAATTCAACCACCATTTGGCACTGTGGAAATCCCTGTTGCTATTGCCTTAGAAGAAAGTCATCATCCATAGGAGAGAACTACAAAAAACTTTGACAAAACGACCATAAAACGACCTATTAATCTCATGTTAGTGAATTGTTTGAGTAAAAGGGTAGGGCTGAAATGCCAAATAACTAAGCCGAGAGGCCACTATATCAAAAAACCAAGAAAACTAGCTTTCCAAGAAAGCAGAAGTATCTTCTTCTTAATTTCTAAGAAAACAGGGAAGGTTCAAGTTGGTATCTCAAATCTAATAACAGCATAAAAATCATGTAGATTAAGGTTCTTTTTCAAAAACGTTAATTTATTTCAAATGCTGAATTAGTAAAATAGAAACTTTTTTAAAAGGTTTTTACAATGGGAAATAATTTTAAAAGTATCTTTGCATCTTAATTTTATGCTACATAAATTCCTATGTCCCTGTATCTGAAAAAGGGAAATAAAGGTAACAGGTAAGAATTTTGTTAATTAATGCTTTTAAAACTGTAATTTACATAGGTAAAAATTATATGAAAAAAAATTTTTCCTAAATGTCTGCCTTACAAACCCAAACAATGTTGCTTCATTTGCCTTCACCATATCCTCCAACCACAATAAATGGCACCTAATAGCACAAAAAGAGGTCTCTACTAATGAGAATAACAGAATGAAAGGAGGAAAAACCTACACTCCCACACACTCATTCCCGGTGCTCTAGTTTGAATACTAAATTGTAAATCAAATACCTAATCTCTTCCCTCCCAGCTCCTTAGCCAACGCATTACAAATTACACATGCAATTTAAAAAGTGATCCTCAAAACTGTTAGTATTCCACTGGCAAGAAAGATATGGCCCAAGACTTCATGGACCACCCTATCCATCGACTCGTTTGCAGAATCAGTGAAAAGTAATAGAATATGAAGAATTATCAATTCATGCGGGAAAAAAGCCATCATCTCATTAGAACTCTTACTTCAATATAACTCTTAAGAGTATAAACCATATCTTAATCTTTTTTTGATCGAGCATCACGTTTAGACATAGTGAAAATACAAAGGAACCAGGTCCCCTACAAGACACTAAAGGGCCATCAACAGTCTCTAAATCATACTCTATGTACAATTAAAATAATCAAGCATTTTGTTAACACTACGAATTAATATAAATGAAGCTTAAAGAGTTAAATAATTATTACCAAAACCATTTGCAGACATATGTAAAGATAGAACATGAAATGTAGGGAACCCCAAAAAAAAAAAAAAAAAAAAAAAAAAACAAAGTAAAAATAGGTATGAGGTCTCTAGTCCCTGAAATGGCTCTAAGGAAAGGTCTGACCATACAGCAAAGAATTCTGACCCAAAAACCATTTAACTTTCTTTTTACTGAGCATAGTCCATTTCCACCTTGTGTCCCTTCATTCACATCCTCATTTCCCAAAACGCAACAGGCTACTAGAAGTCCACATCTTCAATCTTTCTTTTAATATAAAGGAGCAAAGGGAAAAATGAAGAAAATACATCTTCTGATTTAATTATATTCTGTTGAACATGTGATCAACAACTTGGAAAAGATAGAAGAATTTTTCAACATCAAAAAAGAAATCTAAAAAGTGCAGAAGCAGGCTGCCAAAGGGCAATCAACAAAATCAACTATTTTATGAGCAAGGATTCCGCACAAATATATGCTATTTTCTGCTTACAGATTTAAGCTGATACTTATCAGCTAATGAAAATGTGGTCAAGAGATTGTCATTGTGGTTATTGTTTAAAAAACAAAACACAATAAAACAACCCCACCCACATTGCTGGAAAAAGCTTCTGACTTATGCACTATTAACTTGTTTACCCGGGCCACCCCTTAATAAAAGAAATGCTCTGCAACTTGACTAGGGGTGTTCTGCAATGTGTTATCAGTTTAAAATCTTGTTTACTTACTCCCTACTTTACAGATAGGCTATTTTACTACAAGGCTACAATAATAGCATCTTTCCAATTTGACACATCACACAGCACTTCCTACAATGGAATTTGAGCCATTAACTTTATCTCCTTTTCCTCTAAAAAAATTTAAAAGATTTTAAAATGATATTGACATGTGACAAATTAACTTCTTTAAATAGCTGTTCCCAGAAACATGGTAGGAAAAGACAGTAATTTCACGGTGATTCAACTGTAACAGGAAAACGTGGATATTGCAAAATAATACTGACTTTCAGAGACACGAAAAAAATCCAATTTAAATTTTAACGTGGAAACAGCACTACTGTATTTTCAAGAAATTCACTCCCACCTCTTGCTTTTTTTTTTTCTTTTTAAGTTATCAAAGACGGTTTCTAGGAAGGGATTTTATTTTGCAGAAGAATGGCCAAGGTCAGCAAAGCTAAGTAGGACCCCTAAAATGAAATACTTCCTAAGGAGAAATAACTAATATAGTGGAATTACTCCATCTCTTAGACACGACTGGTTAGATTTTTTTTAATACCCTTTTGAAAAGATGTTCAATTAAAAATGGCATGGAACTGAATATTTCTTACGGAATGGGAAATGCCTCGACTCAACATTCAAGAGTATTTAAACTTGGTGTTCTGGATGCTTGCTTGCTATTGGCAAGATCTGTCCTGAACCTCAAGCATTTAACAAACCTCTGCCCTCGGCTTAGAGACAACAGAGGCACCTCGTAATACATAAACGCAAGTTTCAAAGACTAGCCCGGGGGATAGAGGTACAGCCTAAAGAAACTGTGAGAATACATTTAAAGATTTTTTTTTATTTAAATTAAAATCTAAAACTTTCAACATTTGGAAGTGCCACCTCAACTAGACAGCAACGTGGTCTAGTGTTGATGAATCCAAACTACTTTTAAAGTAAACCGAGTCGCTCTGCCCACAGCTCACTCGCCATCAAGCAGCTCCAGTGGGCAGAGGGTTGAAAGAGGACCGCACCGCGCACCGGAGACCGGCCGGCCCCGAGCGGGCAGCAGCTCCGAAGAAACTCCCAAGGAACCCTGTTTAAGCGCCCGGCTCCCACCCGCCCGCTCCTTCCCTCCACCTCAGGGCTCCCCAAGTCCCCAGGGTTGGGCCCCTCCCCCGGTCACTCCCCTCCCCCACCGCCTCCTCGTCGTCCGCGCGTCCCAGCGCCCTCAGCCCCAACTACGGCCCCTCAGCCCTGGGTCTCCTCAGTTGCCAACCCCTTCAGCCCCTCCTCCTTCAGTGGCGTCCCAGTCCTCCGTCTCCTCACCGGGGTTAGCAGTGGTTGCCGCCATGGCCGTAGGTGCCACCGCCGTCGCACCACCCCCCCAGGGGGAGGAGCCGCCGCCACCGAACCCGGGGGGAGCGGGGGGGAGGGGGAAGGGGAGAGCCACTCCCCAGACTCGGCGCCCTACTACCGCCACCGCTACCGCGGAATCCAAGATGGCGGCCGCAGCAACCCCCACCGTCCCCAGACCCTACGGGGTGAGGCCCCGCCCACAGGGGGCGGGGTCAGGCCCGCGGCCAGCCTCCTCGGGGAAACTGACCAATGGAAACGCCAAGTCGGCCAGCCACTGAGCCAGCCGGTCCAGTGGAGGAGGGAAGGCGAGAAAGAAGTCAGCTGTCTCCCTAATCCCACCTCCTGGACGTCAGAGGTCAGCGATGAGTGACGTCGGTGAAAAACAATTTTACGGAAAAACTTCGTTTGGTGGTCGGTTTGCCTGGTTGGCCACTCTGCAGACGACTGGTTTTGTGAATCCTCTTTAGATGCTTTAAGGCTTAAACTTCACATGGTGATTCGTGATCCTTTCTATAGTTTTTCCTCTTTTAAGGACCTTTGTCCCTGGTGGAAAAGTTCAACAACTAATTTTTGACTGTCTGCTATGAAACTAGTAGTCCAAGAGGATCTGGGCACTTAGGCTCCAGTAAGGGAGATACCGATAGCCAAAAACAGGAGGCAACGTATGAAGACGGTATTTTGATTAAGAGTGGGATCAATTCCTGTGGTCAAAGATAGGGATATAGTGACGGAGTTTTATTTTCCAATAGGAAGCCTGGAGCACTTCGGGCCAGACACTGTCTTAACGATATGTATTTACTCATTTAATCCTCACAACAACATTTTGAGGTTGTTTCTATTACTGTATTTACATATTGTAGATGAAGAAGCAGAAGCAAAGAGGTAAAGAAATGGACACTCAGCTAGTGAGCAGTGGTGTGGGAGACAAACCAAAGACACTCACTCTGAGAACGCGTTCCCCCCATCCCTTGCTTTAGCAGTACACGGTGCTACCTTCTTACATATCTTTTGCAAACGGTTTAATATAGTTTAATTATAATTTTAACAGAAATTTCATTATGCTATTGCACATGTTTGCATTCTTATAGGTTAATCAATGTATCAACGATTACACTGATTCATTTAGTACAGTTATCTCAAAGGTATTTTTACATAATTTGTATATTATTGTTTACATTTGTTAAAATTAAATCTTTGTTGCTATTTTGTTGTGTTGCATTTCAGATTCACTAAAAAGAGAAGTCATCCACTCAAAAGAAGTACATTGAAGCATAAGTAAGGGAAAAAGTAACAAAGTTATGTAATAAAGGTAGCTAGCAGTGCTGATCTAGAATGTGCGTTATTATGTGCCTTTAAATCTGGTAAATTCATCCAGGCAACAAAATAAAAATGCAACTAGTAAGTACAACTATGAGTATTTAAAAATTGGTTTTTATTGGGCCAGCAATCTATTTGTCCTTTGCTGGCTACACTTTGACTTTAGGAAATTTTGTCAAACAGTTACTCGGAAAGACATCAAAGTTTTCAAGTCATTTCTGAACCACAAATGATAATCTTGCTGCCAAATAAAATGGATTTTATTTCCAGAGTAAATGCACAATACTGTTTTCCAATATGACATGGATGAATTTGTGGTTAAAAAAAGATCCAAGTTATATCCCTCATTTAAAAAAGTTGTTGAAAGTCATTTTGTTTCAGAGATGATTGTACAACCAACTACAAAGTTACTAGCAAATGTTTTGCTTGGAGGAAGCATAACAAGATATTGGCAAAAATCTCTAATTAAATATCACACAGAAATAATCATAGTATACAACACGAAAGGGCATTATCAGCCATGTACTTGCTAACAGATGTTTACCTTACAAATGGACACTGTTGGTGTACGCACTATGAATCATTTCACGGCAAATATAAGGTACATAAAGAAAAATGCCCAGAAACTTCCTATTTGGTTTATCACTTAAAATTCAAGTTACAGAAGAAGACATTTCACTTAGAAAAATTTCATTTTAAAAAGAATTACTTTGTGAGTTTTGAGAAAATGTGAAAAAGGTATCTCGGGATCAAAACCGATGGAGTTGTAACTTTGGGGTGCAGAAAGGACATTATTCCTCCAATAAATACATGTCAGTCCACTTCCTGTTTTATTCAGAGAACAGTAGGTAGTCAATATTTCTAATGATTCCGATTCAACATAAAACAAGTTAGTACAAACTATAAATAAGTAAGAAAGCAGCCAGTAAACATAATCTTTGAGAAGAAATAAAATTTGATCATGGGTATGTATATATGGGGAAAAAAACAATACATATAGAATTTGATACTATCTGCAGTTTTAAGCATCCACTGGTGGTCTCGGAATGTACCTCCGTAGATAAGGGGAGACTACTGTATTCAGAATTATCTAGTAGCCATCAAAACACTCACTGTGATATCTGACAAACCCATTGTAAATTCAGATTTTCTAATTTTAGTAGAAACACAAATTAGGAAGTCAATTGTGAAGACGGATCTAGTGCCCATGTTTCCAGTTCACCAATATTAAACAGTTACTATTACTACTATGATTTTTAAACTATTACTTAAATGGTAGTTTGCAGATGCTCCAGTTTTAAATGTCTCCACATAGAGTTGCCAGATTTAGCAAATAAAAAGACAGGTTGGCCAGTTGGTTTGAACTTCAGATAAACAACAAATACATTTTTTGTGTAAGTATGTTCCAAATATTACATAGAACATATTAATACTAAAAAAATAACTTATTATTATTTTTTTTAATCTGGAAGTCTTACTCCTGATAGTTAAAATTTAAAGGAACACTGATCCATGTTATTTTGGGGAGGCGAGAGATTGGAAGCCGGAAATTCACTTAGGTAAACAGCTATGCAGAAATCCAGAGGAGAAATTTCAAGGACTTGACATAGGTCAATGAAACTGAAAAGGCAATGATTGCCATGAATAATGTTGTGGCAGAGTAATGAACAAGGCCTGCTGTGTAATTCCATGTGGAATGAAAGGAAGCTGGGATGTCAAAGGAGGCTTTCGGGTGATATCGGTAACCGACAGGTGCTAACTGGAAGTTCAGATTTGTTCAGTTGAGGTTCAATCTATGGATTGTTTGGTGGGACAGCCAGGTAAAAATACTTATTAAGCATATGAAACGGCAGGGCCTCTGCCCACAGGAGAGGTTAGGACTTAGACCTAAACTTGTACATCAACTGCAAGAGGCTCGCGGTTGCAGAGAACGACAGCACCAAAGTTAATAGAAATAAGAAAAAGGTGCACAAAGAATGTCTCAAAAAAATACCTGTTCTAGATTACGGAAGGAGGAAGAGGCAACCTGGAAAGAGAAGGGCTGTGGAAGCCAAAGGAATTTCAAGATAAAAGCGTTTGGGCAACAGCACCATATGCTTCAAGAAGAGGGTGAGCAAATCTAAGGAGACTAGAGGGAATGGACACCACAGCTCCACTAGGTGAGATGTGAATAAAAAGTGAGTAAATAGAAACAGGTCGTTAGCATACATGGCAATGAAGAGAAAGTAATCAGATGGAAGCTGGGGTAGGGTGGGAATAAAAAAAAATGTGTGTCTATAGACCGAGCTTGTAGAATGAGGCAAATTAAAAATGCAAGAAAATACATGTGCTCAGGAAAAGAAGTAAGGCTGGTCCTATGGAAGAGAGGGAGACAGGTTAGGGCTGAATGTGGAAGTGTCACTCTCAGAAAAACCAAGGCACCTCTTTACTGGAAAAGTGCAGGCATTTCGACGTGGAAGAAGGGAAGCTGACGACTCTCGTGCAATAGCTCTGATTCCCAACGAGAACTAGTAGGTGAAACTTCCACCGAAGATAGAAGGTAGAAATGGTGTTGAGTGTAGGCAATTGGTTGGGAGGTGTATGAATAAAAACGTATGAATTAAATGGCTGTCAGATGCTCAGAGAACCCAGAGCGAGAGGGCATAAATTTTCATGAAACTATAGAGCGTTGTTATTCCTTTGTCTGCCAATACTCACTCAGAGGCCTGAGGAAAGAGAATCAACAGAGCAGTTTACCCAGAATTGGAGAACTGATTGACAAATTAGATCAGTACCTTGGCGATGGAAGATTCTAGAGCTGCAGAAGCAGCACAGTTTAAAAGTGTGTAGGAGGGTATGAGATTGGTCAGAGAAACAAGAAGCACGAAGAAGGTTATTATTGGGCTGAGAAGAGAGGTTGAATTCTGAAAGCTGATGTTGATAAAGAGTCAATTCAAGTAAGGGGGTGAGTGGCAAAGGACAGGAACTGGGAACAACATGCATCACAAAAAGTTTTAAATAAAAAAAAGAATATATATATATATACACATATATATATATGTATGTATCTTCAAATCAATAAGTAAAAGATGAGTAGCCCAATCAAAGAATGGAAAAGATAGGTACAGAAAAATCTTCAAAAGATGTACGAACAATATACCATCATAATCAGGGAAATACAAGTTTTTAAAACCTAAGGTATTATTTTTTGCCTATTAGCTGGATGAATATTTCAGAAATTGAAAGTAACCTATATTGGTGATACTGTAAAAAAAAAAACAGACACTTTCATACCTATTTGAAGGTACCGTAAATTTCTGTTACCTTTTTAGCATGTAATTTGACAATACCTACTAAAATTCTAAATGTCCATATCCTACAACCCAGCATTTATATTTTTAATATTTTGAGGAATTTACCCCACAAAAACATTTCTACAAGTATCCAAAGAAATATATTCAAGAATACCCATTGCAATGTTGATATAATAATAAAAAATTTGAAACAACCCGAATGCCCACTAATGGGGAAAATGGACCATGGAAAATGGAAAATGGATATACACACAGGCATTCAGTAAATATTTATGAAATAAAACACATTTTTCAAGAGAGTTATTTTTTTAAAGGTGTGATATTTTGAAATTTTTTTTCTACTTGAAGAAAGAAATTTTGAGTAGGTAATATGTACATGGCACAATATAAGCCACCTAATTTCTCACCTTGAAGCCCTGGAGTGTGTTCCTACAGAAATATTCTGTATATTATAAGCATACACACAAACACACACACACACACACACACACACACACACACACTATAGAAGTTTTTTTAATGAACTAAA